AATGATGCTGGTTGCTTATCGAGGAAAAATGGATGACGTAAGTGCGTATCAAAATTACCAGATTTCACGGCCTAAAAGAAAAAAAAAGATATGAAACTCACACTAATTCCAGCACGGCAGACACATCCAGGCGAATAAATTGTAGTGTATTTAATATTCATTGTATAAAGCAAGTTAAAGCAAAACATTACAAATAAAGCACTTTATCTATAGCAGGAAACATTACTGTATATAATAACAAATCAAGTCAGATATACAGGTGATAAAAAGCAAGAAAACTCAATGTATTGAAACCCACACCTTCTTTAGCCGGATTTTTTCCCGTTCATAGGCAAACACTAAGATGAATTATGTGCAGACCGAAAGATGTTGATGTCTCATTAAGTTAATGTCTCATTAAGTTCTGTTAGCGAAGTGATTTCGCCATTAATCACATTAAAATTGATGTTTAATTCTTTGTATAAATTGTTTCTTTATATATATATATATATATATATATATATATATATATATATATGTTGAGAGAGAGAAAGAGGTAGAGAGACAAAAGGAAAACTTAACTTAGTTGACTCATTTCATGATCTGAGGGACTTTGTCAAGACAAATGCTAGGATTTTATTTTGTAACACGTATTTATATACAATAGTAAAATTGTTTTTGGCGTTTCAAATTCTTTAGGTTTAGGAACGCTCATATATATTCATCAGTTTAGCTGAAAAAGTCCGAAAAGTTATGAAGCGACACAATTCATTGTCAAATAAACGAAAGTGAGTAAATGGGTTTTCGCATTTTATATGCAAATTTGTATTTAAATTATTTTAGTTTGGGATTAATTTATGCCTTATACATTTATCATATAAACTTGTGTTATAAACATATAATATAAATTTGTGTTATAAACATATAATAAAAACCTGTGTTATTGTTATACTGAAACACACCTATTCTATTGTTAATAGACTCTTCCACATATAATAAGTAGTAGCAGTCGCCAGGGAGCTCAGAGTGAGTTGGTGAGTCAGTCGATGTCGGACATTAAAGTATCAGCCACCACAACTAGATTGCTGCGTCATTAACTATTATTTCAAGTTCCTAACGTTTTGTACGTCGAACCTTTTTTAGGACCGACTTAGTAAAATACAAGCCTCCACTGTGAAAACTACTCTACAACAGTTATAAATATATAATAAAAAATTTGTTTTGTATATTTTCAATGGCATATAATAGAAACTTAGTCTATAAATATAATATAAATAAGAATAATAACGCATGATTGTCTGATTGATTCGTTTTTTATGTTTTATCAACCTTTTTCAGGTTATTTAAAGCCAGAAAATATTTTTTTATATTTTACGAATATATTTTGGGATAATAATGATTTAGTGATAAAGGTCCTAGCAACTGAACAATAGGTTGGGGGAGAATAAGTGGATTCATGCCTTTTCCAAGGATATGTGCGCGTAAGTGAATACAACAAACTTAACGGCAATTTGAACTCAGCTCTCCGATTAATAATTCCGAGCCATTATCCACTTCACAAACAATGCATTCAAGCTAACAACACCTGCTATTCCCAAGCGGTCACCCATCTAGGTACTGATCAGGCTGGACATTGCTTAACTTTGGTGATCGTACGGTAACCAATATTTTAACGTAAGACCGTAAGCAAATAATAATAATAATATAATAATAATAATAATAATAATCTCAAAAATGTGGCATATAGGAACATCAACAATCCCTGTTGTAGTTGGAGCCCTAGGACTGGTTGGAAAAGATTGCAGTAGACTAATTGAAGGGATTCCTGGAAGTCCATGCCTCAAGGAGATACAAAAAATTGTTCTGACAAGTACAGCCCACACTTTACGAAGGGCTTTATCTATGTATTTTTTTTTATCAGTGGAATGTGTCATGATGCCATTTCTAACCTTAGGTCCCTGAGCGGGACCCGGAAAGAAATGTGTAAACGCCAGAAATCAAAGAAAATAATAATAATAATAATAATAATGTAAGCATTTCTTTTTTTAAGCAATTGTAAATACTCTATTGACTTGCATGATCCAGAAATGAAATGAGAGTTAATTTAAAAATGCAAATTTTCAAATTGTTTTTCGTTATATCTCAGCCATTTTAGTTACCGCTCTCCAACTCTGAAAGCGACCTTTTGACAACTAACTTTGTCTTCATCGATTTCCTGTAATACATCAAGGATGAAATGCTACAAAATGTTCATATCTGGAGGTTTGTGAGAAAGTATTTTGACCTTTACAACCTACCGTACTTGAGGATAAGGTTCTGTGACCTTGGAAACCATTCTCTTGTATTTGGATGATCAATTTATTTATTGGCAAATATTTTTTTTATTATTCAAGAAAGAACCGCCTATTTTAATTCTCAATGAAAAATACAAACGCGTAAATATATTGGAAACACAAATAAAGCAAACGCATGCACTACACTTACACATACACACACACACACGCGGGGGCACACACACACATAGATAGATAGATAGATAGATATGAACAGACTGGAAATAATGAACAAGACCAGAATGGGATTGATAGATATCGAGCTAGATAAATAAAAATGAATAGACTGAGATAGATAGATAGATAGATAGATAGATATTAACAGACTTAACTCGATGAATAGATATGAACAAAGATAGATAGATATGAACAGTTTGGAATTGATAGACAAGACCGGATTGTGGTTGACAGATAGCGAGCTAAATAGATAGATAAATATGAACAGACTGATATATATATATATATATATATATATATATATATATATATATATATATAGATATATAGATATATATATATATATATAGATAGATAGATAGATAGATAGATAGATAGATAGATTGGAATAAACAAAAATAGAAAGATATGAACAGATTGAAATAGATAAGTATAAACATAAAGAAATAGATAGATAGATAGATAGATAGATAGATAGATAGATAGATATGAACCGTCTGAGGATAGATAGATAGATCGGAATAAACATAAAGAAATAGATAGGTAGATAGACAGATAGAAAAAATAGATAGATAGATATGAAGACACAGAGATAGATAGATAGATAGATAGATAGATAGATAGATCGGAATAAACATAATAGATAGATAAATAGGTAGATATGAACTGTCTGAGGATAGATAGATAGATAGATAGATAGATAGATAGATAGATAGATAGATAGATAGATATTAACAGACTTAACTCGATAAATAGATATGAACAAAGATAGATAGATATGAACAGTTTGGAATTGATAGACAAGACCGGATTGTGGTTGACAGATAGCGAGCTTAATAGATAGATAAATATGAACAGAGTGATATATATATATATATATATATATATATATATATATATATATATATAGATAGAGATAAATAGATAGATAGATAGATTGGAATAAACAGAAATAGATAGATATAAACAGAAAGAAATAGATAGATAAAGATAAATAAATAGATAGATAGATAGATAGATAGATGTCTGAGGATAGATAGATAGAACCGAATAAGGATAGATAGATAGATAGGAATAAACATAAAGAAATAGATAGATAGATAGATAGATAGAAAAATAGATAGATAGATAGATAGATAGATCGGAATAAACAGAAATAGATAGATATGAACAGATTGAGATAGCTAGATCGGAATAAAAATAAAAGAAATAGATAGATAGATTGATAGATAGATATGAACTGTCTGAGGATAGATAGATAGATAGATAGATAGATAGATAGATAGATAGATATGAACAGTGTTAGATCGATAGGTAGAAATTAACATTCTGGCATACATAGATAAAAACATAAAATACACGAACCAACTCAAGTTTCCCGCTAAAATGAATGATCGTCAGTTCAACTTCAAACTTTATCAGGCACAGCTCGCAATTTAAACCTTAAATATGGTGAATTCTTCTTTTGGCGGGGTTGGGTGAGTGTCATCTAAGTATCGCTTTTTTTTTACAATGTTCTACAAGGTCCGAGAGCCACTGAAACAGAGTAAGAAGCACGGTTTATGCGGATATTATGCAGAAGATAACGGTTACCCCAGGACTTGAATAGATTAACATCATAGGGATCACGAAATAACAATCTTGGGAGTCGGTTCCACAATTCGCGGGAAAAAGCTGCCCGAGAGGAACCTGCATCACACCAATGAAATACGAAGGGAATGAAGGTGGTTCGCTACAAAGTGCGTGGCATGGCGGGTCTTAGTAATGAAGGATAGAACTGGAGAAACTAAGGAATGTATTTTGTCTGAAACAGAGCAAAATAGCGATGTAGTGGAAGGGAGGCGACCATTGTTATTTTACGGTGAAGAGAGGCGAAGATATTCACCATAACTACTTTTTTAACTTCTCGTCTTTATATCTCATCTCTTTTTCAATAGCCACCAGCCTCGATTCGGGAACATCAAGATCGCAATCTTTTTCTCTCACCACAATTTGTCTTTATTTATGCTTTATAGATACACTTTTAATTGACAACTTCATCATAGTTGGAGTTCGCCAACCAGGACTATGATTCGTTATATATATATATATATATATATATATATATATATATATATATATATATATATATATATATAAGAAGAAAGAACAGTAAGATATATAATCCGGTGTTCTTATAGATATTTTTATTTTTACAAAATAGTGCTCAATGTAAATTTACAGAGCATTAATATTATAAATTAATAGATTTAAAAAAAAACATTTTAAATCAATTAATTTATAATATACACACACACACACACACACACATATATATATATATATGTCTGTGTGTGTGTGTGTGTGTTTGTGTGTGTGTGTGTGTGTGTTGAGACATGTGTCGTTGAATAATTTAGACATGCTCTGTCTACTTATTCTCGATAAGTATCTTTCATATTCACGGATAAGTTTTTTTGTATCATTATTGAAAGACGGGAGGAAATCGCCGTGTTCATACATATTATGTTTTATTTCAGAGAACTTTCGATATAGTACAATGTCATCATCAGAGTAGTGTTAATTACAGGAAAAATATCACAGGGTTCATTGTTGTGAAAGACAAAATATTGTCGCGGTTATCTGAAAATTAAATTTCTTAGATGTGGGGTAAGAAATGCTGTGTCATGGCATGGTTGCAGGCATCGTTTAAGGGGAGGTAACTAGGTAGTTGTGTAGAGATTAAAATGTGTATAATAGATAATTTGAACTGCCAAGGTTTGTACTAATAGTTCTTTCCTTTATTTTTCTACTACTCATTTCGTAAAAACCTCTCGTCCTATCGAGAGAATAAATAGACAGAACATGACCGAATTATTCAACGACATATGTCTCAATGAAAAACATGCTTTGAAATATACGCATATATATATATATATATATATATATATATATATATATATATATATATATATATATATATATATATATATATATATATATATATATATATATATATATATATTAGAGTGTACAGCTTATACATTATATCATAAAGAAGTAATTTATACAAAGAATAAATTAACTTATATAACAATTTTTTTAGGCGTTTAACTCCAAGCAAAGCGGGAAGCCACTAGCACACAAGGGGTTACAGAGAGTTGGAGCGAGAGCAAAGAGGAGTGATAGAGGAAAGGATGAAGAGAAGGATGGGGGATAGATCAAGGCATCTGGAGACGTCGATTGACATTACATTTGATTAGTTGGAGATTATAACTATCAGGGAAACAGGAAAAGGGGAGAGAGTTCCACAGGCGAGAGGTGCGAGACATGAAGCTATTGAAGTAGAAGAGACGGCTAAATTTAACAGTTTCGACAGTGAAGGGGTGTGAGCGAGATGCCAGCCTAGTAGAACGCTTAAATTCATGAAATTTGGGAACCAGCTAAAGCACCTCCTCGGAGCAGTTACTATAAAAGTATTTGTAAAAAAGACAGAGGAAGGCGACGACACGTCTGTGAGAAAGCGACTGCAGACGAGGTGCCAGATCAGGGTTAATTACTTTGTATATCCGTCTCTGAATTTTAAATTATATTATAAGGATCGTATTAGTCAAGGAATTGATAATAAATTAATGTCTTATTAAGTCTTGTTAGCGAAGTGATTTCGCCATTAATCACATTAACATTGCTAATTAATTCTATGATATATATATATATATATATATATATATATATATATATATGTATATATATATAGGAGGCACGGTGGAGTAATGGATAGCGGCTTGGATTGAGGAATCGCAGAGCCGAGTTTGAATTCCAGTCGAATCCATTACATTCACTTACGTGCTAATACCCTATGAATCCTCTTCCTCTCCCTCCAGCTATGGGTAAAATAGCAGGACAGACAGACTTGGATGGCAACTGGTCTAGGAGAAGGACAACTCTGAATTCAAAACCTGCGGAGGGTCGTTTGGGAACCTTGTGGCATTCGGTGCACCAGGTCTCTGTATTCGTCCCTTCAAAAAGTGTGGATAGTCCTGCACGAAGCCTTCACCACTATAATCAAATCTCATCTTGTGTCGGGCTGTCGGTTTCCTGGAAACTGATCTGCTTGAGCCTCATACGTCGAATTTCGAGGGGAGAGTCGACTATATATATATATATAAATATATATATATATATAAAAGATAAGGATGACAATATAAACACCCACGGAAAATTTAATTCCGGTTGAGCACTCTTGAGTGAAAGTGCGAATTTGTAAACAATAACTACTTCTGCTAATACTAAGATTTTCTATAAAATGCGTGGTCATTGGCTTGTGTAATCGAAGAATAGGTACGTAAAATGTCGGCTTCATCTTTACCGGTTGTTGATAGCTGAAGAGTAAAACCTCCGACTCTTATCAAATCAGTTGGATTTTTATGCCGGCTTGAAGAAATCAGAGGTCTAGCTGCACTGATTCAATTTTTCTATGAATTGAGAACTGTCATTGGCGTGTTTATTCGAAGAATAGTTACGTAAAAATTCGCTTTCTTCTCTGCCGGGCGCTTATAGCTCAGGGGTAAAATCTCTGACTCGTTTCGATCCCGGCTTGAAGCAATCCGATGTCTAGCCACCCTGATGAGCTGTGATACAGTCGTTCTGTGGATGGCTATATATATATATATATAAGCAAGTGTAAATGGATATAAATCCGACAGAATGAAGAAATTTTGAAAAAACAAACAAAAAATCCTTAAATGTAGTTAAAATGAAAAGAAATGTCGACGTCTGACGTTTCGGTTTAATAAACCTTTTCAAGACAATATTCATCAAAATACAATTCAGTTCAATATGACAAATACGATGGACATAAAACATAAGTCTTATTCAGAACAGATAACTGAAAATTTTTAAAATGATCAGCCTTCCGTCTAACATGGTCACGCCGTCGTCACATGGGCGACGCTTTCATAACGTATTCTAAAAAGTTTGTGATTATTTTGAAATGAAAAAAAAAAATGAAAAGAATTCTATTAGGTTCTAAAATTCTTATGTGTATGCTTGTCGAGCATCAATCTCGCTAAAAAAGGGGAAATATTAAAGAAACCAGGTCTAGTATTCACCGTGCGTGAGATGGATATTATACCTGCTTCATAAATCCTCCTGAGATTTTTATTATGAAAATATTTTAATACTTTCACGGAATCGAAATCGAAATTATGATCTGCTTATGAACAGATCACCTCTATACAAATTTCTAAGAATCTAAAAGAATTTAATAGGTCCTATAAGAAACTCATATGTAATGAAGATAAGATTTGGCTTTCCCTTATTAACTACCACCCGACCGTCCCTAAAATTTATGGCCTCCCCAAAACCCATAAGCTTAACATTCCATTAAGGCCCATCATCTCGGGTATAGGCTCAGCTCCTCATAATATCGCTAGGTATTTAACTAAATTTCTAACTCCAATTCTGGGCACCGTAAGTAACGCACATATAAAGAATTCAGGCTCTCTTTTAAACAAGTTGAGAAATATTGATATAGATAACAAATTACTAGCTAGCTTAGACATCAAATCTTTATATACTAATATACCTGTTGATAAATGCATTAAACAATTAGAGAACCACCTTAAGAAAATTGACTTTAAGCTACCTATCTCTATCTCGAAATGCATCAAATTATGCATCCTTTGCACTTCACATTGTTTCTTCCAATATAATAATATTTATTATAAACAAAAATTTGGTTTACCGATGGGGAGTCCTCTCTCTGGATTCCTAGCATGCATATTTCTAGAATTTCTTGAATCTGGACCTTTTAAAGATGTCATTCCACCTGATACACATTACTTTCGATACATCGATGACATTTTATTTATCTACCCACATAAGCATGATTTAAACGAGATTACTGATAGATTAAATAGAATAGAACCTACTATAGAATTTACCTATGAACTTGAATCTAATAATTCCTTACCTTTTTTAGACATATTACTCATTAAAAATAAAAATAATAAAATAAATTAGAATTCAAAGTATATCGTAAACCTACATGTAAAAATGACTATTTACATTTTTACTCTCACCATGATACTAACACTAAGAGGGGTATTGTTATTGGATTCTATTTGAGGGCTCTTCGCATCTGTTCATCAAAATATTTAAATGATGAATTTACATATATTGAGGATACCTTTTCAAATCTTTCGTATCCGAGACAATTATTACAGAGAGCTAAAAATAAAGCGTTGAAAATTCACTCATCAGCGCAAAATGACACCTCAAAGGCCACTACAACTAGATCAATGAAAGATACAATTTCAGCTGCCTCTGATAATATTTCGTTTGGTCGCATCTTTTTACCAAATAACCATTTGAC